TTTTGTTTTAAGGCACCCAGCCGTTCCACTGTGTGGCTGGGCTAGAGTTAACTCTGGTCCATCGATTACAACAAGATTGCTGTTTCAAACCCAGATTGGGTTTTGCCCCCTGCCAGTGTTGGTGTTTTAGCGCCCCCTGTCACAAACAGAGGTTTTGAACCAGCCTCCACAGTAAGACAGCCACCGTGAGCCGACTGGTTGAATCCATAACACTTTATTTACATCTTTATTAGTTACATCATTTGAACTCTTGCTTGATTTTCAAGCAGCACAAGTGGACAGAAAACACAAAAGTAAAAAGAAAACCGCGATCAGCGAGTGTTTTGTTTTTAAGAAAAAACGAGAAGGACGTGGAGGAGAAGCCATCGGAGCGTGAAGGTGAGGGTGGACCGAGGAGGAGGTGACAAACGACCCAGAAAAATCAGGTGACTACGAGAAGAACACGTGGACAGAAGTCCTCAGCCGGTGCAGAACTGAAGCGAAACATGCAGCAGGTGAGAAGTGCAACAACAGAAAAACATTGGAGACAGGAAGTGCTAAATATGGTTCCACACTCGTCGGCGCCCTCTCTTGGTCACACCTACTACAGAATACTCGCCACAGAAACAATTCAGAGATCTTAAAAGACTAACACTCTGGACACACACGCACGCACGCACACACACACACACACACTACTGAAACATTCAGGTTAAACACAGTCTGATGTCCAGATGGTGGCGATGTTGCGTCCATGCTGGAGAAGCTACGACGCAGACGGGACACTGCCTAAAACCCAGCCAGTCCAGAGCAGACGGTCGGCGTCCTTCAGTAGGGATTCCAGGAGAGGTGGTCAGAAAAGACGGGAACCTGCTGGTCATCAGAGCCCACGTCTACACAGGGCAGAGACGCAGAGTGTCCGTCATCAGTCGGTCATCAACCACAGACCTGTCAGTCAAATGTCGTCAGTCGGGCCATTACCTTGGGTGTGGTCGGCATCCAAAATGAGGCGTAGCCAATCAGTGATGTTGTCCTTGGAGGTCAGGGGATTCCTGAGGGAGGCCAGGCCGGGGGGAGAGCGACGGGGTCTGTGGCTCTTCTCTGCCTCCTTCAGAAAAGAACAACACCTTTCATTAACCAGCATCACGTCACTGTCGGACCTGGAGGTCAGCAGATGGTCACGGTCCACACTGGTCACTGGTCACTGGTCAGAACAGAGACCAACATCACCTGAAACACTGCCTACCGGGGAGAAGGGGGCGCTCCAGGGTCCAGGCTGCTCCAGTGACATTCCAGTGGACAAAGGAGACACAGAGGAGGCTTCAGAAGCTGCCGGAGTCTCCTTCTCTCTCTGCTTGTCTCCTACGTCCTCACACAGGCCGGAGGTCATCTTGGCCAGCTGGCTCTGCCTGAGGACCACACCAGGGTCAGTGTTCAAACACAAACCTGTGCTTCACATGACAAACTCTGACGCTGACTCCACCCACAGCTGCTCCACGGGGTCGTCCGAGTCTAAGGTGTCAGGCTGGGACTCAGAAGGTGGGTCCCACAGGTGCAGCGCCCGTCTCCACAGACGCACCTGTGTGTCCCAGGAGCGCCGGCTGTACTTCCTGTACATGTTGGGGGTGGAGGGGTGAAGCTTGGGGTCCCGCTGATGTCTGGGGGGAGGGAGGGGGAGAGGGGGGAGAACCTGTCATTATTTTGACTTCAGGGTCCAAACTGGGACATGTTCAAAAGTGTTCAAGAGCGGCTGCTTACTTGGGAACCTGCTGAAGGTAGTTCTGATATCCACTGGTGATCTTTCCGTAGTGGATCTGTTTCTGCCGCCGCTTCAGAACGGCTTCATTGTTCTCCGTGTTGGCAGGATCCAGGAAGCGAGGGTAGCAGCGACCCAGGGGCGACCTGGGGGGAAACTGGACCTTAGTCCACTGGAACTCTAAGACCAACTGTCTGAAAGGAGTTCATCTGGACTAAAACATTCTCAATGTTGACCTCCATGACCTCAGCCTGGACTGACAGATCGGGTCAATACGTTATGTTTACGTATAAAACTTCATGCACTTTGTTTTTGACTTGGTATCAGACGTCCCCCACCGCCCTGACCTCCTGCTGTCCAAGTCCTCTGTCCCCACAGCCACACTGCTGGTGGACACTTTGAGGATACAACGCTCAAGAATGGACGGCCTGCAGGGGGCAGCAAATACAGACTGTTCTTCAAAACCATTCAGTAGACACGCAGAAAGATTTAAACAGTCAGAAACAGAAACTCTGGGCTCAGACCTGCGCGCTTTGCTGTTGGACGTGCGCTCTCTGCCTCGACCACCAGCAGCACGAGGGGAGGAGACGGGGGAGACGTTACTGCAGAAGCAGGAGCCAGACGTAAGAGAAAATAAATCAGCCAAAAATGGAGCTAAAAACTGTTCAGTTTCACGGCTAACCTGACCAGGCTGTCGTAGACAGAACTGCAGCCTGGGAGGAGCCAGGGCTCGGGGGCCGGGCAGCCAGTGGAGGGGTCGTAGGTCAACAGAGGGTCAGGGAGACCATTCCACGCTGCAGCTGACCAGCCCTTCACACAAACACAGGACCATGGGCTGAAACAGAAGCTGAGAGAACATCACAGCATCAGAGTCCACTGCCGTCCTGGATCAGCCAACATGAAGACAGAATCAGCCAAATGTCTCCGCCGCCATTAACTCAGCGTTCAAAGGACAAAAAGGCAATTCATGCATAAAAAGAGACAGATATTTGGAGATTACAGATGAATAATTTAAAGGCAATCATTTATAGTTTAAATATGTAAGACAACATTAGAAATAAATGAGTTTAAAATTATACACTGTTGACTTTAAACCAAAACATTTTAAAGGTTGTTTCTTTATTTTTTTTAAATAAAAAAAATCTAACATGACCTTTGCTGATATCTAAATTATTAAACAGTCACAACCGGAGCTCTGTTTGTTTTGACTTAAATGCATCATTAATTTAGAGCTCTGTTTTGACTTAAATGCATCATTAATTTTAAATTGGAAAGTGGTGTTTTTTAAACACCACTTTACTTGTATTTGTTAATTCGTTAATAAATTACTTCATGTTCAATTGATTTGAAAGTTGTCTGCAACACACCCTTTAAAATATCAGTGAATTTTCAACTTCCTTAAGATTCACTGTGATTTGAAGTCGTTTTCTAGACAATTAGTATCAACTTATAAACCGTAGTTCAGTACAGTCAATTCGGCTGATTTGTTTTTTTTTTTTAAACAAATTTAACACAAACGTGTCCCGCAGCAGCTGAAGTTCTCACTCTTCGATGGACTGACTGCACATCGTCATCAGTGAGGTTTGGTACGAGACTGGAGGCCATTTTAAGGGAACTGTGCGGCTGAGCCCAAGTCTGTTCGGGTAACCTGGGAACTAAGGCTGTGAGGCAGTTATTCCGTGTCACAAACCTGGAGGAGAGCAGCGGGCTCTGGGCTGCAGTTTCCACTCCACTCGATGACATGTTTCGATTCGGCGCCTTCTCTTCACACGAACAGACGCCATTGTTCTTTTTTCACACCTTTTAATGAGACGCACCTGAGGGGGCGGGGCCCGAGCCGACCACCTGCGCTGCTGCTCAACTGGATGTAAGCCCCGCCCCCCACTGTGTGCACGTGTGTAGTATATGTATGTGTATATGTGTGTATATATATATATATATATATATGTCCCTCTAAACCTTTCTAGTAGAAATATCTAATCCCTAATGTCAACACGATTGGTGTGAGTTTTATAACAGATCACAAAGAATTTAGAGTCTGGAACGTGTTATGCCTCCGTTCCTATAGGTGGCGCTGTTTGCCTTTGAACGCCTTCCGTTTCCTGAGCTTCCACTGTTCTAACAAGATGGCGTCCGGTAGTGGGGTAAGTTTGTTCTATCCGATAGGTTTTGTATGTTTTAAATGTAATTTTAATATAATATGAAATCACTTTAATGCCATTGTATTTATTTATGTTTTTCAGTATTAAAGGAACATTTTAATGACTAGAGATAGTGTTTATTCCGCCCCTCCCTGTCGTCTGAGCTTAAAGAGCAGACGAGCTTTAGTCCGTAATTGAAGCTAAAGGTGGAGTTTTTTTTTTTTTTAGGAGTTGCTAAATATTTAGTTTTAATATTTTTTGCTATGGACTTCCTGTACTCTAAGCACTGCTTTGTGTTTTCTTTGTGGTTGTTGCTCTCCGTTAGCAACCTCCGCACGAGCAGCAAAACAACGAGTCTTCCGGGTTTTTACAAAATAAAGGCCCCAAGACGTACTGGACAAAATATGAATAATTCAATTTCTAAAATGTATGTTCATTTCAGAAATGTAAATTAATTTAAATAATTCGACACGAGTTAAACGATACAAACTTTAACTTTTAGCAAAAACATGTTTATTTTCGATGACGACGCCAAATATTAAAATAATTTTCTCTTCTTAAAAAAAGTCAATCATTTAATAGGCTGTTAAAAATATATTCAGAGCAACACAGCATATAGTTTAAATGTGTTTAGTGCAAATATATCTATCTTTAAATAAATACACACGCCCTCTGGTTCAGTACAAGTCAAGTGTGTGTTTTACGATGTGCTCATTTCATGGCTGTGTCTTTTACTTCTTCAGTCCAGTAAAAATGACTTCCGTCGTAAGTGGGACAAAGATGAGTACGAGAACTTGGCCGAGAAACGTCTGGCTGAGGAGCGAGACAAAGAGAGGAGAGATGGTGAGAGAACCTCAGGTCTGACCTTTGTTGGTGTGATTAGATCCTGAGGAGTTAGGGACTGACCACAGCGTCTGATCTACGACCTTCACATTAGGGTCATAAGAAAAATCACTTCTGAAGTCAATCTTTATAAAAAACAAAAGGTCTCAAATCAATATATAACTAATCCACCCCCCTCCGTCCCTCACCCCCGTCCCCCATCTCTCCGTCTTTACCTCTAGGAAAAACAGCTCCTCCCGTCAAGCGGGACCTTCTGCGTCACAGGGACTACAAAGTGGACCTGGAGTCCAAGCTGGGAAAAACCATTGTCATCACAAAGACCACGCCCCAGGCTGAGATGGGGGGGTAAAACTGTGACACCCTGTTAGAATGTTGTGAATGACAGCTGGTCTCAGATCAGTCCGCCTCTCACACTCCACTTGTCTCTGCAGTTACTACTGTAACGTTTGTGACTGCGTCGTCAAAGACTCCATCAACTTCCTGGATCACATCAACGGAAAGAAACGTGAGTTCACGTCAGAACTGGGCATCAACGCCTCTGATCCTGTCACACACACCTGACCTTTGTGTGTGTGTGTGTGTGCGCTCCCACAGACCAGAGGAACCTGGGCATGTCCATGCGGGTGGAGCGATCATCTCTGGACCAAGTGAAGAAACGCTTCGAAGTCAACAAGAAGAAACTGGAGGAGAGGCAGAAGGAGTATGACTTTGAGGAGCGGATGAAGGAGCTGCGGGAGGAGGTGAGGAAGAAGGGAGTTAGAACTCAGAAATAAAATGAACCAACACTGTCAGTGGCAGTACAGTAATGTAACAGGAAACCCTTCGCAGCTGAGTCTGGAGCCAGACTCTTTGGTGTGAATGTTTTACAAACTTCTGTCACCTGAGGTCACCAAAGGTCACGTCTGTAAGCACCTTCACAGACAAACATCTGAGACGGAAACTAAAGGAAGTTCTTCTGTGTCTGTGATTGTTTGTTCTTCAGGAAAGGAAGGCGAAGGCGTACAAGAAGGAGAAGCAGAAGGAGAGGAAGCGTCGAGCTGAGGATGACGTCGACCTGGAGGATGATGACGAGATGGCGGCAGTGATGGGTTTCTCTGGGTTTGGGTCGTCTAAGAAGAGTCACTGAACTGCGGTGGAACACCAAGACTGTGACCAGAGGGTGGAGCCACTGAGAACTGGGACCACCTACACTCTCTGGAAGTTTTGTTCAGAAATTTCAGCGGGCTCTTATTTTGGAAGTGTGACTGTTGAGATGATGTTTCCTGTGAAGCTGCTGAACAGAAGGTTGTTGTGCATGTGCATGAAAACAAACAGAAAAAGAAAATCTGAAAAGTTTGGACTTTTACTGTGGCTGGTGAGGCGTTCAAGTTCCTGCACATAAAATGAGACGTTTTTCTACTTTTTGTCACACAAGGATCACATCCTAAACCAGGTAACAGGATATCAGTTGTTCTTTTTATCCTCTTTGTTTTTGGATTTGTTTTAATAAACTTTTTGTTGACCTTTTAACTGGTGTTTTTCTTGAACTCTGAACTTTTAGAACATGACTGAAATAAAGTCACTGATGTGAGAAAGAAAAAAAAAAGGAAAATGAACCAACACCAGGAATGTTGGACTAGGAATTGGTGATAAAAAAATCAATAACTGATCAATAACTGAGGAGATTGATACAGGATCAGGATCAGGAGAGACTTTAGTGAAGTTGATGTTTTCTTATAATGGTTAAAACAAAAACCAACTAAGATGAAGTGAATGTCTGAGCTCAGTGGCTCAACTTCTGGTGTCTGGTGTCAGGATGGACGTACCTGGAGTCAGTGTTGGAGTCAGTGTTGACAGTTGTTGAGTGGGTGCAGCAGCAGCAGCAGCAGCAGCAGCAGCAGCAGTGTTTCTTCCGCCTTGTGGTTTTGTCTTCATCATTGCCCCCCCCCCCCCTCCCCCCCTTCATCCTGCTCAGTCACTTCCTCTATGATACAGAGAAAGAAAGACAGCGACAGAAAGAAGGAAGCCATTTTGGTTCCTGCAGCGACATGTCTGTCTCTCCTCTGAGTCTGTCTCTCTTCCTGGTTTCACCTCCCACACTCTGAGGTCCGGCTGCCGCCTCCGTCCACAGAGAAAACGTCTGAAGGTCTGAGGTTTCCTGTGGCATGGTCAGAAGGCCTGGGTTTCGGAGGACGGAGCGGTAAGAGGAACAAAGACATCTGTCTGTCCAAACCTCCGGAAACGTGAAGGTTTGACCCCAACAGGAAGAGCAGGAGGACCGAGGATGAGCTCGGACACCCTGCCCACCCGGACCGAGGTGACGGGGTGGAGTCCACAGCAGCTGGCGGACTTCATGAAAAGGGTAAGACACTGTGGACACGTTGTCTTCTTCCTGATACATCCATAAAGAGACACGAGATTAGATTCAGATTCTGGAGACGACAGGTGAGAGATAGGAGACCAGAGGGACGTGGCGTCCACAGAGACAATAGAAGACAGGAAAAAAGAGACAAAGAGATCGACGGCAAGGGTTATATGTCGACCGCAGAGAGACACGGAACGGTTTAAGGAAATGAAACAGCCATAGAGACGAAGGCCGACCACAGAGAGACGGACGAAGAAGAAAGACAAAAGACAGAAAATTTGACTTTAAAAATGTAGAGACCAAAATCAAGGAGACATCAGAGAAGTAGGAGACAAGGAGGGATGACCTGAGTGACTGTGTCTCCTCCTCCAGATGAGTCTGTCAGGCTGTGACAAGGCCGTGCTGAAGAACACCATCAACGGCTCACGGTTCCTGGTCAGTGAACACACACACACACACACACACAAACAAACAAACACAATTAAATGAAAAAAATGAAAATGAAAAAGTGTTGTTTTTTTTCTTTTCTCAGAATCTTAGTGACAACGATCTGCAGAAATTCCCCAAAACCTACGCTCCGTAAGTGTCGACGTCTGATTCACACTAACAAATATCTGGTCCATTCACACCAACAACCACTGTCCAATCAGCAGCAGCATCTGTCAGGGTCAGGGTTCATTCACACCAACCATTTGATGCTGCATTCACTTGACATCTGATTCACACCTCATTCACACCTGATCAGACCTACAGACCTTTTCTATTCACACTAACACAACAACTAAAACACCGACCAGCGACTCATTCACGTGTATCAACTCAACACTGTCAGGAGGATTCACACCTCTGATTCACACCTCTGATTCACACCTGAAACCTCCAAAATGTTCAAATTCACCCACGCGATGGTGTGAATTCACGCGGCTGTTCACGTGTGTTGTCAGGATGATTTCGAAGCTGAGCAGCGAGATCTACAGGAAGGAGGAGAAGCGAGGACTCTTCCCCAAGTAGGTGACACCTCCAAGGACTCTGAGGACCCTGAAGGCAGCAGCTGCCTTCAGGGTCCTCAGAGTCCTTGTGTTTTTCTTTGCTACAGGCTGACGCGCAGACACCAAGAACCAGGTAAGAACCCACTGTTCCACGTCAGAGCAGCTGCACTGGTTCTTGACCTCGTCTGTGACGACACAGGTGTGGGCGGAGCCTAAGGTTGTGCGCGTGTTAAACTGCGATCTCTTTCCGTCCTTCTCAGAGCCTGTGGACGTCCAGGGCTGGGGAGAAGACGAGTTTGTGAGTTTCACACCTTCATCACATCAACTTCCTGTCCCTCAAATACACAGAGCTAAGCCCCGCCCCCCCGCTCCCCCCCCTGCAGGACGATGACCATTACGAGAAACCGGACAGTAGTGACGACGACTACGTCAACCCGGACTCTGACGCAGCCGACGACGACCCGGGGTACGAAACCCCTCCCTCTGAGCCGCCGGAGGAGCCCGGTCTGTGCCCGGCGCTGCCGATCCCTGACGGCGGTTACATCGGTGAGAGGCACCGTGGAACAGGTGGTCATCAGTCATGAGGGTCCAACTGAAACACTGTGTGTGTGTGTGTGTGTGTGTGTCCAGATAAACTGAACAACCCCCCTGCTGTGTTACCCCGGCCCCCGGTGTCGACCACCCCCGCCCCCCCGCCGGCCTGAGCAAAATCCTTTTTAAAAATATTTATAAAACAAAACGTCTGAAACATTTTCACACAGAGAGTGTGTGTGTGTGTGTGTGTGTGTGTGCAGCCGGTGGAGTCATCCTTCAGACGAGACCCCTCCCCTCACTCCAGTGCACCAGCGTCAGGGAAGTGTGAGTACACACACACACACACACACACACACACACACACTCACATGAACTGTGAACTTCCTTTGTTTCTGTTGGTTGGGTTCAGGTCCCACAGCGCCCCCACAGGTGATTCGTGCCAACAAACCGGGCAGAGACTCCAGGATGAACTTGTCACCTGTCAGAGGTAACAATGACTAGTCCTAGTTAGTTAGTTGGTCCAACTAGTCACTGAATCAACTCCTCTAACCGACCATTGTTCTCTCCACAGGCCCTCAGATCAGCACCACGGACAGAGTGAGTTCTCAAACAACAACAACAACGACAACAACAACAACAACATAAGTCAGATTGACTCTGTGACCTCTGACCTGAAGCTGGAGAAATATAAATACTGAAATATATTTGTGTTTGTCTCAACACTTCTCTGCTCTGATTGGTTCTCTCCTTCTGTCGCAGCCAAACGCTCCGCCGTGGAAGTAAGTGAACCGAACCGAACCAAACCGAACCGAACCTGATCTGAACCTGATCTGAACCTGATCTGAACTCTGAAGGGTTTGGGTTTTAAAGATCCTCTGTCTTTGTTTCCCTGGAGGCCACAGCTGGACGTCCAGGACCCCCCCGCTCGCCAAAAACCTCCGATTCTCCCCCCGCCATCGTCCATCGGCGTCGGCCGCAGCAACTCCTCCGGCAAATCTCCTCACGTGTTCAACAGGTCAGGGTCAGAGTCCGGCTCTGTCGGTCCGTGCTCCTGGGTGTTTTTGACCATGGTTTCGTTTGTGGTTCCACAGGTTCGACCACAGGAAGGAGGTAAAAAACCAAACTGACCGTCTGACCGACACGTCCTGCACACAGGCTGCCACAGGAGGCGCTATTTAGTATATGGACCTTCTGTGTGTACGATAGAGATGTGACACTATGAGGCGCTACGCTAAATACATTTTTACTAAACGTTAGCTCACAAGCAGCTAATTATTAGCCTTGATGCTAACACAGAGCCTGAGAGTTAACAACTACAGCCAGTGTGTGTGTGTGTGTGTGTGTGTGTGTGTGTGTGTGTGTGACCCCGTGAACGTCAGTCATTTTTGTCTTTTTTTTTCTACTCTTCATCAGCAGCCTCGTCCTGAAGGTGAGTGGCATCTGAATTATTTGTTTGTTTGTTTGTTTGTTTGTTTGTTCCAGTGACTGAAGTCTGAAAATTCTGTTTTTTCTCTCCAGCCCCTCAACACAACACGTTCCCCCTCCTCAGTAAAAGTCCGCTGCTCCCCCGCTCCGGACACCCTGGAACCCACCACCAAACAGACAGGTGCTCTGACCCTGACGTCACAGACGTCACGTGACTGCGGTTATCAGACCCGTTTTTCCTCCGTGAATCCGCGTGTATCGGACTGCTTGTAACAGCAGGGGGCGCTAACTTCACGTTAATCTCTAACGCACACACTATTAATGCGTTTAGTGATGCCCCCTGGTGGCATGAAAGTGTTCTTTTCAGAACAGAGAAATGACGTCACGGAAACTCAAAATCTAACTGAGCAGCTGCAGAACCAGAGAGAGTCACTAGATGGCAGTATAAAACCAGAAACAGATTGAAATCCTTCAGACGTTCGTGTCAGAGAATTTAGAACAAAACAGAACAACAAATGTTTCACAACAACTAATAATCATAATCATAATCATAATAATAATTATGATTATTATCATGTCATAATTTTACCAATGTTCACATATATATAAATAACATTGCAGGACAAAACATTGATCTGTTTGTTTGTTCTTTCAGTTGTTCTCCGGGCGTGGCCTCCGCTGCTTCTCTGCCACACAAACTGCACACAGGTGAGAACACACACACACACACACACACAAACAAACAAACAAACAAACAAACAAACAAACAACAATGACGTCAAGAGCAGAGATTTGGTCTGAGTCTAACATCTGTGTGTGTGTGTGTGTGTGTGTGTAGGAAGCTTCATTGGATCAGACAGACAAGTCTGTCATTCACCACAGACAGGGTCCTTCAAACAGGTAACACACACACACACACACACACACACACACACACACACACACACACTGACCCTGGTACTCAGTCCTGGTACTCAGTCCTGGTACTCAGTCCTGGTACTCAGTCCTGGTACTCAGTCCTGGTACTCAGTCCTGGTACTCAGTCCTGGTACTCAGTCCTGGTACTCAGTCCTGGTACTCAGTCCTGGTACTCAGTCCTGGTACTCAGTCCTGGTACTCAGTCCTGGTACTCAGTCCTGGTACTCAGTCCTGGTACTCAGTCCTGGTACTCAGTCCTGGTACTCAGTCCTGGTACTCAGTCCTGGTACTCAGTCCTGGTACTCAGTCCTGGTACTCAGTCCTGGTACTCAGTCCTGGTACTCAGTCCTGGTACTCAGTCCTGGTACTCAGTCCTGGTACTCAGTCAAGTGTGTTTTACAGCAGCTGGATCCACGCTGGTACGTAGGTCAGGTGACCCGGGCTCAGGCCGAGGGCTGTCTGAGACAAGTCCACAAGGTAAAAGAGCAGAACTGATGGTTCCGTTCCTGGTGCGTCAACAGTTCCGTTCAGTGTTTGATCCTCTGTCTCTGTCTCTGTCCCTGTTGAGGATGGTGCGTACCTGGTGAGGGACAGCACCCGGCAGTTGGAGAACCAGCCCTTCACCCTGATGGTGTTCTACCACAACAAAGTCTACAACGTCCAGATTCGACAGCAGAACCAACAGTACCTGCTGGGAACCGGACTCAAGGTCCAGGAGGTGAGGCAGAATGTTGGGTCGGAACCCGGACCTGGTTCTGTTCATTGCTGACCCCGTGTGTGTGTGTGTGTGTGTCCATTGCTGACCCCGTGCGTGTGTGTGTGTGTGTGTGTGTGTGTGTGCGTCAGACCTTTCCCTCCGTCAGTGACATCATCAGTCATTACTCCCAGTCTCCTCTGCTCCTCATCAACGCCAAGGACCGACACGGCTCTCAGCAGAACCAGTGTCTGCTCTCAGACCCGGCTGGGTTCTACATGGGCCGACAGACCTGGTCCTGAAGACCGGAGCAGACGCCCTCCGGGTCACGGCTGTTCTTCTTTGAAGTTCTTCTGTCTTTTCTCTTCAAACAAATCAAATAAATCTCTTTTCACTTCAACTGTCCGAAAATGAACTTTTTTACTAACACGATTTGACCACAGGGGGCAGCAGAGGTTCCTGAGTGAACAGTGAGACCTCACCCTGACACACACTTTAATCCCATAATCCCAGTTGGTCTGTGGCGCTCCTGAAGGCACCACCATCAGGAGACCAGAGAGGATTATGGGTAGATTAATGCTGCTGCTGCCAACTGTCACTTCACACACACACACACACACACACACACACACAAACACTTACTTTTGTCTAAAACAGCTGTTAGCTCTGAGCTAATCTTTAATCTTTTTAGTTTTTAATCTAAAAAGAAAAAGAGAGAAGATTTGATTGATTTAAAAAATGAAAGTTTTAGTTTCTGAGAGCTCAGACATGCAGACTACGTGTGTGTGTGTGTGTGTGTGTGTGTGTGTGTGTGAGTCGTCTGAAGACAATAGGTGTCGGGCGACTCCTCAAACAGCAGCTGACGCTGTGTTTGTGTTCAGTCACTTCAACTCTGAATCAGCGGCTTTTCACTTTTAAAGTCTGGAGTCAAACTGGTTCCTGAGGAGACGTTCTCCTCAGGAGACGTTCTCCTCAGGAGACGTTCTCCTCAGGAGACGTTCTCCTCAGGAGACGTTCTCCTCAGGAGACGCAGGACGTTCTCCGGAGGAGACGTTCTCCGGAGGAGACGTTCTACTGAGGAGACGTTCTCCTCAGGAGACGTTCTCCTCAGGAGAACGTCTCCTGAGGAGAACGTCCTGCGTCTCCCGAGGAGAACGTCCTGGAGGAGAACGTCCTGGGCAGCTCAGTGTCGTCATGTCTGACTGGCCCTGAAGGCAGCGTCATTAATGTCACGTTGTTTGAAGAAAAGTTAAAGATTAAAAAAAAAAGAAAAAAGAAACATTTGACCTTTGAACTGATGGGGGCAGCAGTGAGTGAACACCTGGAGCCGGTCACAGAGTTAAAACATGAAAGATTCAGATTTTATTTAGTGAAATTAGTCTCACCACACGGGGCAGCAGTGGACAGTCCTGGTTCCTGTGTCCTACAACGTAAAAAGACTGGGTTTGTTTTGGGTTGGACTGTAAAACGTGTATGTGTGTGTGTGTGTGTGCGTGTGTGTGTGTGTGTGAATCTTTGGCCTCAGGGTCACATTTTAACAACTCTTATTCAAACTATCACACACTCCAATCTCAATGAACACACACACACACACACACACACACACATACACATACTGTAAATGTGGAGACAAGGCCAACAGCCAATCAGCTCCTTGGTGGGTGTGTCCTGACGGTATAAGAGTGTCAGGTGAGCAGCAGTTGCAGCAGGTGGACTCAGGACAGGTGTGTGTGTGCGTGTCTCCTTGTCTCCTTGTCTCCGTGTCTCCGTGTCTTCTTACTCACATGGCGTCCTTCGTCCCAGACCTGGGTCTGTCTACTGCCCCCTGTGGACCTCCTCTGTCCCTGCAGGACCTGCAGTCCTTGGGTCTGGACCCGTCCGACTTCAGCCTCTACAGTCCTGCGGCTCCTCCAGAGTCCACTTCATCCTCCGCGCCGTGGACACTGGCGTCCACCGATGGCGGCGCTGCAGGCTCCGCCCACTGCTCCTCCTCCTCCTCCTCGTCCTCGTCCTCTGGACCCTTCCCGCCGCCATCGGCGTTCTTTCCACCTCAGCTCTACGCCAGCCTCCAACACGCCGCCGCCGCCGCCGCCGCCGCCGGGAACCCTTGGCTTTCCTTCTGCGCGCCGGAGCACGTGCTGCGTCAGGTCCGACCGCCGTACTCCTACTCTGCCCTAATCGCCATGGCGATCCAGAATTCCCCTGAGCAGCGGCTGACGCTCAGCCAGATCTACCAGCACATCTCTGAGAACTTCCCCTTCTACAGCTGCAACAAGGCGGGCTGGCAGAACTCCATCCGCCACAACCTGTCGCTCAACGACTGCTTCCAGAAGGTTCCACGGAACGACAACGACCCAGGTGAGACGCGAGACTTTGTTCACTTAAAGTTCAGTTCTAAGGTGGAATGTTCTGGATCATAACCGTGTCCTGCTCCGTCTCCAGGCAAAGGAAACTACTGGACCCTGGACCCTCACTGTGAGAAGATGTTCGACAACGGAAACTTCCGCCGGAAGAGGAAGAGAAAGTCCGAAAACAACGGCAGCAGCAACAAAAAACTCTCCCCCTCCTCTGACTCCCCCTCCTCTGACTCCCCCTCCTCTGACTCCCCCTCCTTCTCCAGCCCTCAGGATCTCCACCCCGCGCTTACGTGTCCAGCCCTAAGGATCTCCACGCAGAGCTTCCGTCTCCCTCTGACTCCTCTTCCTCCTCCTGCTCCTCCTCTGATTTCCACAGCTTCCCGTATCACCTCCAGGACTTTTCCTCCTCCTCCTCCTCGTCTCCTTCTTTATCTCCTTCTCAGGGTTTTCTTCCCTCCTTCTGCACCTCCTCCTTTTCCTCCTCTGCGCTCCATCACTCCTTCTCTCCTGCACCTCCTGTTTTCTCCGCTGCGCCGTCACTCGCTCCTCCTTCTGCACCCATCCTTTTTTCCTCGGCCTCCTCTCACTTCAGTCCTCCTCCCCCCCTGTGTGACTCCCTGGTCAACTCCCCGCCGCTCTACACCGACCTGCAGGTGGCAGCGAGCGTGGGGCTCCAGCAGGAGGAGCAGCAGGAGTTCCAAGTGCAGTGTGAGCCCCTGTTCTCAGGAGGCTTCAGTGACGTTCTGCACCTCCAACATCTGCTCCTCCAACAGTGAAGAAAACCTCGTTGTGTTTACACTGTAAAAAAATGATGTATTTATGTTTTTTTTAAATATATATTTGAATTATTTTATTTTTAATTGAATTGTGGTGAATGGTTTTTGATCTATAAATATCAACGCATTGGAAATAAAAAAAGAAAATCATATTTGAAGTGGAGTCATGTGACTTTTTCACCACAGAACTTTGGGAGAACGTGATTGGAAAAAATGAACTCAGAAAGACCAGTAGTCAGAGCTGGGGATTGAACCACAGACCGCTGTAACGCATAATGCATCCCATAATTCTATGACATTCTGATCGGTCTTTATATAAGACTGGACACTGAAAGAACAGAAATGAATGAGAAAGAGAAGGTCCACAGCTCCCTGGAGGTGTGGACCTTCTCTTTCTGCAGCTTCAGTCTGAACTAAAATCTCTGATTTTCTCTATGGACTTTGGTCTGAACTAAAATCTCTGATTTTCTCCATGGACTTTGGTCTGAACTAAGATCTCTGATTTTCTCCATGGACTTTGGTCTGAACTAAAAGCTCTGATTTTCTCCATGGACTTTGGTCTGAACTAAGATCTCTGATTTTCTCCATGGACTTTGGTCTGAACTAAGATCTCTGATTTTCTCCATGGACTTTGGTCTGAACTAAGATCTCTGATTTTCTCCATGGACTTTGGTCTGAACTAAAATCACTGATTTTCTCCATGGACTTTGGTCTGAACTAAAATCACTGATTTTCTCCATGGACTTTGGTCTGAACTAAGATCTCTGATTTTCTCCATGGACTTTGGTCTGAACTAAGATCTCTGATTTTCTCCATGGACTTTGGTCTGAACTAAGATCTCTGATTTTCTCCATGGACTTTGGTCTGAACTAAGATCTCTGATTTTCTCCATGGACTTTGGTCTGAACTAAAATCACTGATTTTCTCCATGGACTTTGGTCTGAACTAAAAGCTCTGATTTTCTCCATGGACTTTGGTCTGAACTAAGATCTCTGATTTTCTCCATGGACTTTGGTCTGAACTAAAAGCTCTGATTTTCTCCATGGACTTTGGTCTGAACTAAGATCTCTGATTTTCTCCATGGACTTTGGTCTGAACTAAAAGCTCTGATTTTCTCCATGGACTTTGGTCTGAACTAAAAGCTCTGATTTTCTCCATGGACTTTGGTCTGAACTAAAATCACTGATTTTCTCCATGGACTTTGGTCTGAACTAAGATCTCTGATTTTCTCCATGGACTTTGGTCTGAACTAAAATCACTGATTTTCTCCATGGACTTTGGTCTGAACTAAGATCTCTGATTTTCTCCATGGACTTTGGTCTGAACTAAGATCTCTGATTTTCTCCATGGACTTTGGTCTGAACTAAAAGCTCTGATTTTCTCCATGGACTTTGGTCTGAACTAAAATCTCTGATTTTCTCTATGGACTTTGGTCTGAACTAAAATCACTGATTTTCTCCATGGACTTTGGTCTGAACTAAAAGCTCTGATTTTCTCCATGGACTTTGGTTCAGACTCAAACCTATTGAAATCTGAGGCTGAACAGAAAACAAGATTCAAGATAAAGTCTCAGGTGTAGCGCCCCTGCTGGTCATCCGTTACTGACTGTTTCCCTGGGAACCAACGCGACACCAGCTGATGCCAGAACACCGACATCGGCACTTTTGAACAAACAATCAGTCCAACAATAGTGCCGAGTCATGTGATCAGGGGAGCCAGCGGTTGTTTTTCCCAGAGATGAGGCTCAGATTAGGAGTGTTCAGTCAGCAGATCATCTGACAGACTGTGGGATAATCCCATTTCCCACAGACAGTGAAGTGACAGGAGCTGTGGGAAAGGTCTGGTGAGAGGAGTTCAGCCGTGGCCCGTGGACCCTGGTGGTACGTCTAAGATACAGTTCTGGTCTCACCCTAACTCTAACCCTGTTGTTTTGGTTATAGCCATGTTACTGCCACCTAGTGGAAGATTATTTTCTTGTTCAGTCTGTCATTGGACAGGTTGACTAACATTGACTGACCGCGGTCCAGAACTGACTGGTCACTGAGCGTCCAGCAGAGAAACGACGCTTCTGTTCAGGAATGAGTCTCACTGACAGAACTGGGGCCGCGACCCACAGGTTGACCGGACTGAAACACTGAAGCCTGAAGATAAATGTTGAAGTAAACTGGTATCAGCCAAACTCTGACCCCTAGAGGTCAGTAGGTCAGCTCATAAAATAAAAAGACACAAATGTAAATCATAAAATGAAAACTAAAAAAGTAAGAAGAGACAGAGCCGTCAAGTGTGTGTGTGTGTGTGTGTGTGTGTGTGTTTAGCCATCATGTCTTCCATTGATGTGTATGCAGGTGTAAACACACTCTGATCTGATTGGCTGATCAGTGATGATCGACAGACGTCCGACAGACTGCTGTTGTTTACAACGCAACATCAGAAGTGTGTGTGTGTGTGTGTGTGTTATTTAAATGACCTCTTGACCTTTGAGGAGCAGCCTTAAAGGTGACCTGTGTTGATATGAGATCAGTCACAGCAGTCGGTGTAAGTGTGCCGAGTGTTTACACACACACACACTCACACACTCACACACTCACACACACACACACACACACTCCAGTGTTTATTATGACAATACTGATCATCAGTGATTACAGCGAGTGTGTTAATTATCTATGGACCCATTAGTATTCACATTATCATAAGTGTGTGTGAGAGAGAGAGAGAGAGAGAGAGAGAGAGAGAGAGGTGACTTTAACAAACACATTTACAGACTTTAATTCTGTGAGGGGGGGCAGTACTTCAAGACAAACAACTGTGGCCCCAAAAAAAACAGTGACTCAGTTCATGAAATCTATGTCACTGTTCAGTAGTTTAAACAATTCACGCTCCTCCACACACAGACCAAACCTCATGGAGAAAATCAGAGATTTTAGTTCAGACCAAAGTCCATGGAGAAAATCAGAGATTAAGAATTTTTTTCCATTTTTATTATTTTTAAACTGACACAAACGGGGGGGGCGGGAGCAGTACTTCAAGACAAACAACAGTGGCCCCAAAAAAAACAGTGACTCAGTTCATGAAATCTATGTCACTGTTCAGTAGTTTAAACAATTCACGCTCCTCCACACACAGACCAAACCTCATGGAGAAAATCAGAGATTTTAGTTCAGACCAAAGTCCATGGAGAAAATCAGAGATTTTAGTTCAGACCAAAGTCCATGGAGAAAATCAGAGATTTTAGTTCAGACCAAAGTCCATGGAGAAAATCAGAGATTTTAGTTCAGACCAAAGTCCATGGAGAAAATCAGAGATTTTAGTTCAGACCAAAGTCCATGGAGAAAATCAGAGATTTTAGATTTTCAGTTCCACCAACGTGTCCAGGTGTAAGTGTTCGTTATTAGTTACCAGTGCAACTGTCATAATGTGTGTGTGTGTGTTTCCTGTCTCTGCTTGTTCTTCGCCCCCATCAGTACTTTACGTCCTCGTCCCATTACCTTCAAATTCAAAACAAACTGAAACTGTTTCTGAGGCCTTACCCCCCCCCCACCTCCCCCTGAATTCAAGATGTGGACCTGGACCTTGACCTGGACCTGGATCTGGATCCTAGACAGAATGTGAAGACCTCGTCGGCCGACAGTCCTCCTTCCTGCAGTGAATACGACTGTGTGTGTGTGTGTGTGTGTGTGCGGTCGCTAACTGCCTGAGGCTAGCTTTCTTTGATTTGCATAACAACGTGTGTGCGGTGGAGAGTATGGATTAATGGGTTCATAGACAAACGTTTTCATCCGACCCCAAAATTTCCCTTCACTTATAAAAACAGTTTGTTTTTGAGTTCCCCTGTGGCTGAGAGCGCCCCCTTCTTTTTTAACCAGCTTATATAAACAATAACTTGTGAAACAGGAACCTGAAGTTTGTAAATCTGCACTCCCCCCTACACCAAAGTCCAGTACTGCTGCCTCCAGTGGTCAGTTAGTGTGACTGCAACAGATCTGAGCAAAATTATTTACAACAGTAGTTGATGACAAACAGAACCTGAATGACTGAGGCAGCACCGATCAAGATGGAGGGGCGGAGGACGGGGGCCGGGGGGTTGGGTCACTTCCTTCCTACTGAG